TTCCGTAAGCGTTTGATGACTGAGATAATCCACGTTTATATTGTTTCATGGCTTTTAGCGTCTCTTACTAGCGTCTCTTTCACCTGATATTGTCATGCAGTGATTTTCCAAGCGTAGCTCAGATGTGGCACAAGGCCGAAAGTATGGGGTACTCAGTGAGGATACTGTCATGCATTTGCACAATAAAAACTCAAAAAAATGTTTCCTAGGATTAAATGGCTAAATATATGCATTTGTACAGTTTCAGTGAGATGTTTTAACTTTTAACGCTTCAACTGATTGTATCTACCTTTCCACACTGTCCCTGTGTCGCATTAAAAAAGAAAAAAAAATCAGTATCGAGATAACGGGAGAGAAATAGGAGAGAGTGATAAAATAACAGAAACATGAGGAGAGAGAGAGAAAGAGAATATTTTTCTTTCTTTTTTATGTAAGGTCATCTCTCTAAGTACACTACATCGAACTTACGAACCACCGTAATCGAAAAAAGTCTCCAATTTGCATTCAATTGAATAAAATCACTTTTTTAAATAGCAACGAAAATTGTTTCTTAGCCGTTTATGGTAGGCGGAAAACTTAGCCATTATTCCGAAACTCCGACAACGGTTTTCTATAAACAAATACTCCATGCCATAATTAATGAAATAATAAAAAAAAAAATTCTTTCATTAAAATTCGTAAGATTTTGTAAATTGAAGTTTAATGTATATTTTTATTTATTTTTATTTTTATTTATTTATTTGGTTTTTTTTTTTTTGTTTTTTGTTTTTTTGGCAATACATTTCTTCAAAGCAAAATAATCCGCACTTCTTTACTATTTTAATTGATAAGTGAAACTAATGAAAAAGTATAAACTAAACACGTTTAAATTTTTTAAACCTTTTTTGGTTTGAAAAAGATTTAAACGTGTTTATACTTTTTCATTAGTTAGTAACAAAAAAAAAATCAATGAAATTTATTTTTTATAGATTTGAATAAAACATTCTTTTTCATGAAATAAATATGGCCTAAAAATATCAATAGTGTCAAACTATTATTCAGACATCCAATTAATGACTTGAAATTTCATACAAAAATTTCTAGCTAAAGCCTGCCATTTTGTCCTCTTATAAATCCGGCTCATCTTAATTTGTTTTATTATCTCTGGTAAGTGTGTATTAGAGATAAAAAGAGAGGAGAGATAGTGTTTGTGTCCATACGCAAAATGCAATGATTTGACTTCATGCAATTCCCAGAGCACTTTTATTTTTTCTCAAAAGGAAACAAATGGGATTCTCTTAAATATTTGTTTTAAAAACAGGATTTCAGATTTTGGAAAATTTTTCATGCGTTGAAATCGTAAAACATTTTTATTTTTTAAGCGATCATTTTCTTGGTTTTATCTTACTAGAAATGTCTAAAATAATGACTAGAAAATTTATATAATAAATAGTAGCGTAGACATCTGGTTAGTATTACTATAAATAAGTAAAAATAAAATCAGAAATCCACCTTAGTGGATAATCTCGTAATAAAACATAATTATACCGAGATATATTAGCCTCTTAATTGATTTAAAAGAACTGTTCAGAAAGAAAGTTACAATAAAAAAAATAAGCACTACTGAAATTAGCATTTCTGCCCCTCAGTAAACATGGGAGCCCCCACGCTGTTGAGAGTTTCGGGTTAGTAAGCACCGGCCCTGTTTATTATTATAATTGATGATTGACAGTATAACATAGGTAGAAAAAATTAAAAAGTAAAAAAAAAGAAAAAAAAAAAACGCCGCTGAAACTAACCCTCTTGGGGGCTCCACCCTCGTCGGAGGTACCTGTGTAGTACGCACCACACCGGCCATGCAGATACACGGTGTATAATTTTAGTTGATGACGGACAATGTAGCGTCAGTTTAAAAATAATTTTTAAAAATGGAGGATGGCCATAAAACAGAGTTGAAAAAATATCAAAGGCCACAATGACCTGCCCCCGCGCTCCCGATCGGAGTTTCGGGGTTAAAACGCGCCGGCCCCGACCACCAAAACGGTTGCGTTTTTTTTTTGTTTTTTTTGTGTTGTTTTTTACTTTTTTTTTTCTTTTTTTTTTGTTTGTTTTTTTCCGAAATGAAAGCAAAAAACCGTTACCCACTGTTTTGCCAAGAATCAAGGAATTACCTGATTCAAACGAAATTTTCAGTATTTATTTATTTACTGAATTAAATGTATACTGAATATTTTATTAGAAAACTTTGTAAGGACATTTTTGGGACAGAGGTCTGTTTCTCCCCATCACCTTTTCATATCTTGTGCGTACGTTTTAAGTTGAGAAGTTTTTGTCAATTAGTTTTTTAGTCATAAAAAATGAAATCTATGAAAAAATTATACAATAATAAATGTGAATATAAGAAAAATTCGTCTCAAACCTTAATAAAAATAATTCAATAAAGCTTAAAAAATAGATTTTTCTAACTTTAAAAAAGAAAAATGCAAACAATTCTTGTAAAAATTCATTATTCATCGAATTTTTTTCTTTAGACTATAATGTCCTTAATATATATTATTTATAGAAGCAATTAAAACCTTATCTAATTAAATAATTAGATAGTTTTATTGCAGTTTTGATTTACTATTTAGAGCAGATTTTAGAAAAGTTGGTAATAAGAAAAAAAATTGATGATTTCTGCAAGGCGTCCTGCTTTTAGCTAATATAAAAACATTTTGTGGCGCTTTTAAATTCTATAAAATTTTATGAAATTAATTAAGGTAAGGGGGTTAACAGATGCAAAAAAATATTTTTACCAAGTTTTTCTACAAATAAAATTTTCAAAAATAAATTCATTCATTTGTGAATAACTCCTAAAATTTGCATTAAAATCCGTCAATTATTTAAAATTAGTGTTTTTGTTTTTGCTGTTTTTCTGCGAAAAACTGGCGGTACCTACTTTTTCTTTCGGGTTGGACAGAAAAAGAAATCTACAATTAATATTTTTTTTCTAAATTACTTGTAATCTTTCAATATGGTTTTGAAATTCATCCCCTTTCTGCTCACGACAAGAGTTTTTTGGGTTTTTTTTTTATTAAATAAAGACATATTTGTAGAATCAAAAAATTGTAAAGTTTAATATCCTTTTCGAGTGTAATCCTTTTTTTAAAAAAAGATTTTGTTCCATTTTAGCAACAGTTAGATCATTTTTGTATGGATGTTCCAAAAAGAAATAATTCTGAATTACAGCCTTCGACCACTTCGAAGTGTAATATGATATATGATAATTTAGTAGCTCTTAAATTCAGAATATTTTTTAAAAAACACATACATTGAGTGAAATTAGATGTTTTATGACATCAAACAGGTAAGAAAATAATGAAATAAAATAAATGTATTAAATTCAAAACTATCACTTACCTACAAAAAACTACTTGCAATGTAGTATAAAAAATTTAAAAAAATATTCTTTCTGTTTCATAAAATCGTATAGGATAAAAAATTATATTCTTAAACTACTGTTCAATTGATTTTTAAACATAAATACCAATTTTCTTGGTTATTACACTGCCGGTGTTCCTTAGTTGTAATTTTTCGCGCACTTTTTAAGAGAAAGATTGAAAGAGATATTTATAGTTGTTGACCTCTGACCTCCCAGGCTACCGTGTGTAAAAAATGTTATTTTCATTATGTTTTAAACAGAAAGTAAGCATTACACTTACAAAATCTAATTAATTAATACTTGAATTTACTAACTTACTTCAAAACTGATCTTGTGGACAAATATTAGATTATTTTAAAGAAATTTTTAAATTTGTTTACATTTTTCGTCTCTAATGACGGTTCACTATGAGTGAACGTGCCAATGTTTTAAAAATGCCTGAAGTGCTTTAAAGTACGGGAATTAATTTTCTTTTAATTCGGATAAGCTTTAAACTATTATCTTTTTCAAATAAAACCGGAATTTAAGTTCAAAGAAGGCATAATTATTAAAAATGTGTTTTTCGTTTTGTTTTTTGTTTTGTTTTTTTTTTGGTTTTTTTTTGGTTTTTTTTTTTGGTTTTTTTTTGGGGGTTTTTTTTCAGAATATCCGTGGCGGTTAAACCCTTTGCCTGTCCAGGGCATTTTCGTGTGTACTATCCGAACTTCCTAGCATGTTTTCAGATTTATAACTACTGCAAGGTAACTCAGCTTATGTGTCAAATAGAATAGGCTGATCACATCATAAAACCCTGTGTGTCACATGTGATGCAAAGTGAGCAAAGAAAGTTCTAAGGGTTTTATAAATTTCAGCGCACATACAAATATAATTAAAAAAATCAACTAAGGACTAAAAGGGTTGCGAGAAAATCATTGTTTTTTCTCACTAGATTTTAAGAAATAAACATTATTATTGATATTCAGAATAATCCTTGATTAATGTACCTTCAAATCGACTTGACTATTGTTTACCTGAACGCTGAAGAAAGACGACGACTTGGATAAAACAGTTGACTAAATTAAATTCACAAACACACGTACGGTGATGATAATTACGGAGGCGAAGAATGAATTTGAACGAAAACCTTAGAATAAAAAACTAATAATTTAAATAAAATAACCTCGATTATTATTAATTAGATCCACCATCCATAAGCGCTTATATTCAACTTTTTATCTTAATTCCAGTTAACGCCAGATAAAGTATTAGCAATAATTAAATTACAGTAAATCCAACAGTTCTGTGAGGTGTGAGTGCCAGTGAATGATAGTCAAGCATTCAAATCTACACGAAAACGTTTTCTACAAATTAGTACGTTAAAACAGTGATGACATCCGAAGTGGGTCTTCCGACCTTTGCACCTTTAATCAAAAAGAGACAGATAATAGATGAAATCTGGACACAGACACACATATATTAAGAAATGATCTGATGACCACTTAAAGTGTGAAAGTGCGAGTCACCTGGTAGTGTTGATTTTCTGCCCACACTGTTTACGCCTACAAACGCTCTATCTCTAATATGGAACACTTCTCATCCACTGATGCAGCAAATTTTAGACAAGATAGATAGATAGATAGATAGATAGATAGATAGATAGATAGATAGATAGATAGATAGATTGGATCAAATATAAATCAGAATCCAACCGAATGATAAGATAAAGAACAAATAGGAAAAGTTTATGAATCTAATGATAAACATTACCTATTTGTTCTTAATCTTATCATAGACAGATAGAGAAAGAAAATAGATAGATAGATAGATAGATAGATAGATAGATAGATAGATAGATAGATAGATAGATAGATAGATATGACATAATTTAGAAGACGCGCATTTGATTAGATAATTTACAATAAAGATGACGCAAGAGAAGACAAGATGACTAGAGGGGACAAGATGACGCAAGAGAAGATGGAAAAACCTACATGCAATTGAGAATAAATATCAAAAGTATGATAGATAGATAGATAGATAGATAGATAGATAGATAGATAGATAGATTCAGTTTGTTAAAAATCTATCGATTTCAGATTGGGACTATAAAGAATTAAAATAAAGAACACAAGAGTGAGAAATGGACAAAAATAAAGATTTCGGATAATTGCGAAATCTAACCGAAAAACGATAGTCATTTGTATAATAAATAAATAGTCTTTGACCGTACATGTCACAAAATAATTATATTTACAACAGTAATGAAAAGTTATTTTTAAGTAGCATAAGAATGATCAATTGCAGCAAAAAGAAACGTAACTATCAAATATCATGCATAATGTGTTCACTTACCTGCTTTTCGTAGGTCTCCGTCAATATCAGGAACCCGACAATGTGTGGTTAATGCTCCAACTGGTTTAGGACTAGCTTCTTCATTAAGTTCAAGAATGGATGAAATTGAAAACTTGAGAGTTGATGCCTTGGTGATAGCCGAACTCGGGCCAGTGTTTGTAGAAGACGTCATTATTGAAGCCGACGATGACGGTATGATTGTTGACGCCTTGTTCGTGGAAGTGGTTAGAGCGTGGCTAGTGATCGTGGTCCCAGATACGTTGGTCATCCTAGTGTTGACCCCAACAGCCGCTGTTATGATCTTGTCAGTGGTGGACACCAACATCGCCGTGTCTGCTGCCTCCATGACGTTGACAGCTGGGCACGAGCAAATGTGTGGAAGACGTTGAAGAAGTTGATGACGTTAGGTAGGAATGGTTTATGGCTAAAAATAATCTTGCCGACACCAGGTATGTCCAGGGTGAGGAGAGCGGTGATAAAAATTAGAAGAAATGAAAGAATTGCAAACGATAATGTATTATGTTGATGGTGGTAGTCGGAAATGATGTAAGTGTTGATGAGAAACCCCTCAATTTAAAAAAAAAAAATGAAAAAGTAAAAAAACTATTTAAGATGATAAAAAACAGAATGATATTAAGGTTTGTGTGGCTGGGAAAATAGTACACATCTTGGATAAATTGATGAAGACAATAGTTTCAAAGAATCTTCTACTGGCAATAATTAATTTAATGTCGCCCTACCAAAAATGATAACAGGGAACCTGTAACTATGAGGAGGTTGGTGCCAAAATTACATTCGTCCAAGCAACAAGCAATGATGGTGATGATATCAAAAATAACTAAGATATGAAGAACATTATTAAAACGATGACTGATTACAATACATAAAATCAAACATACAGTAAAAACAACGAAAAGTGGCGGGAAAAATCAAGATGATAATGATGATGATGATAAATTTCACGAAAGGATTCGATTAACGAAAACGATGTTTATCAGCTATGATAATATGGCGTCAATAATTAAAAAAATAGAAATAAAATCCACGATGCTGACTAATCAAGATTATTAATAAAAATACATTATAAATATCTTTTTTCAAAAAAATGCGATGTTGCTGACAATGACAATGAAAAACTTGATAATGCGAATAGAGAGACAGACTCTTTGGGTTGCACGTGGCTTCTGGTTCCGTGTCAAAATTCCGTATTGCATCTGGTGTATGGCTGGAAATTTTCAGTCAGCCAGAGCTGATGCCTCCGCCCATCGTCACAATCGCCGCTTAGGTTGGAAGTGGACGCATTATATATATATTTTTTTTATTTTATTTTATTTTAGTGAACAATGATAATGCTGTAGGATGGTGAAAAGTCAACATCTTTCCCTTTACCCTGAGGACATCTACTACCTTAAGAGACTCAACATTGTCCACCATTTCTTTTATTCATAATCTCTGTCAGTCTGATAATGTGGATGACCAGGTTGTGCGAAACATCTATCTATCTATCTATCTATCTATCTATCTATCTATCTATCTATCTATCTATCTATCTATCTATATATATATATACATATATATATATATATATATATATATATATATATATATATATATACTCTTTTTCTTGCCAATCTATCATAATATGCTCATTATCTATCTATCTATCTATCTATCTATCAAATCTTTTTCCTGCCAATCTCTCTCTCTCTCTCTCTCTCTCTCTCTCTCTCTCTCTCTCTCTCTGTATATATCGGCCTGACCATATGACT